GGCGCCTGAGCCCGGAGGGGCCGCACGTGCCGTGGGGCGTCTTCCCGGCCCGGCCCTGCATGCAGCGCCCCCGGCCCCGCGGGGGCTCCCCCGGCATGAGCAGCGGGCGCTAGAGGCCGCAGCATGGCCGGCAGCGGCTACACGGACCTGCGCGAGAAGCTCCAGTCCATGATGCCCTACCGGGACGGCCACAAAGGCGGCGGTGGCCCCCGGGAGCTCGGGGACGCCCCTGCCGCCAAGCGCAAATACCAGGCGGCGTCGGACTCGGAGCCCAGCGACTACGAGGAGGCGGCGGAGAAGGAGGAGGAGGAGGAGGCGCGCAAGGTGAAGAGCGGCATCCGGCAGCTGCGGCTCTTCGGCCCCGAGGAGTGCGCCAAGATTGAGGCGCGCATCGAGGACGTGGTGTCGCGGGCCGAGAAGGGGCTGTACAAGGAGCACACGGTGGACCGGGCCCCCCTGCGCAACAAGTACTTCTTTGGCGAGGGCTACACCTACGGGGCGCAGCTGCAGCGCCGCGGCCCCGGGCAGGAGCGGCTGTACCCGCGGGGCGAGGTGGACGCCATCCCCGAGTGGGTGCATGACCTGGTGATCCGCCGGCTGGTGGAGCACCGGGTGATCCCTGAGGGCTTTGTGAACAGCGCCGTGATCAACGACTACCAGCCCGGCGGCTGCATCGTCTCGCACGTGGACCCCATCCACATCTTCGAGAGGCCCATCGTCTCCGTGTCTTTCTTCAGCGACTCTGCGCTCTGCTTTGGGTGTAAGTTCCAGTTCAAGCCCATCCGGGTCTCTGAACCCGTCTTGTTCCTGCCTGTGAGGAGAGGGAGTGTCACTGTGCTCAGGTAACTAATGCAGTGCAAGGCCTCGGAGTTTCAGGGAATGAACTGAGACACCCCTTAGCTTTGATCCTTGAGTAACGCGGCTGCTCGCCACTAATAATACAAGGGTGAATTATTTTTCCGTAGTGGAGCGGGTGCGGGTTGCTTTCCGCCCCCTCGGAGGATGGAGAAAAGACCTCTGGGGGGGCTGGTTGGACCCGTGATTCAGGCAACACATCAGGGCTGGCTTACCTGTAAGGGACTTAGTATCTATCTGGACGTGGAGCGCTGGTGGGGTCGGGCTCCGTTTTAGCTTTAATCTGCCCTTGTCAATGGCAGAAATCCAGGCAGAGATGCACAAAATGGAGCCTCGGCCTGATAGCGCTTGTTCCAGGGCAGCCAGTCTGGACCGGGGGCTCCTGGGTTCTATTCATAGCTCAGTCGCCGACTTCCTTTCTGACCTTAAACATAGGGAGGGGGCGTGACTGGCCTCATCTTCCCCATCTGTAGATTGGGACTGGTAAGGCTCCTCTTTCTGGAAAGGCAGCTGGTAGTGAGGCCCTGCAGTGTGGAGCGAGCCCTGCACGACCGTGCTGTATGGTAGGCGTTCCAGGCGTATCTTGGTCTCCGTTTTGCAAATGGAGAAACAGCCACACACAGTAAATGACCTGGCCAAGGTCACGCGGCAGGTCCCTGGTAAAGCAGGGATTGGCTTGTGGGAATCCCTGGTCCTAATCCCTTTCTCCATCCCCTGGTCACATGGCCCTGTCTGCAACTCGGACCAGTACAGGTGGCAGGCGGTCGTGTTGCCTGTGATCATTAGTGCGTGTGGCCTCGTGGAACAGGTGGCTTTTTAGGCAATGTGAGAGGGAAGGAATCAAGCGCTGGGGCTGCCTGACTTCGTGATGGAGGGTTTAGTCACCCCAAAGCTCAGAGGAGCCCTGCAGAGCTCCGTTTGCCTGGAGCGCCCATATAATTGCATCCTAAACTACTTCAGAGCAGCCATAAATTAGGAGCTGTGCGGATTCTTCCCCCCCAGTTTGATAAACGTTCTCGCTTGCTTGCCAGGCTCTCTAAAGGTAACACAATCTCCTGCTTTGGCTTGTAAAATGATCACCGCAGGGTTCAGGAAGGAATTTTTTTCCCCCCATGTACATGCAGCATTGCACAATTGACCAGGTGCATTAATAATAAATGCTTAGCACTCGCATAGCTTTTATCTCCCAAGCACAGCACAAACATTAACTAATCCTCACGGTTCCCTGGGTGTTCGGCAGGACAGGAGGGAATTGCAAACTAACATGTAAGTGGGCACAGCTCTCCTGAAGCTAATGGCGTTCTGCCTGTTTATTCGAAGCCACGAATTGGGTTTGAGGTCAGGTGCTAGGGACGGCCAAAGGCTGGAGTAGCCAGGCTGGCTGGCCCGCCAGCCTGATGTGCTATTGCAGATTTTACTTTGCTGTAATGCGTTCTAGCTGGACTCAGAGACAAACAGAAGGGTGGTTTCCATCCCCATTTAATTAAAAGGAAAGCTTTCCTGACCTTAAAATGGAGGAGGGTCAGGGTCTTTAAGTGACATACCAAAACCTGCTGGCGAGGGGCCTCTAGGCTGCTTGTGGGGACAGGAGGACTTGAGGTTGCTCTGTTCTGGGCTGCTGGAGGGGAACAGTCCAGGGAGTTCAGGCTCGGAGCCTGGGAGCGCCCCGGCAGCCTGGCATGCTTAGGGCCAGCTCCATGTCTCAGCAGCCTGAGATTAAACCCCCAAATGTTGGTGGCTCTGAACAGTGCTATGGGTTTCCGGCTACTGATGGCTGTGGGAGCTTGATTACCTAACCCAAGATGAGAGGTCCCGGTTTGGAGTAGAAAGGCCTTTTCTAAAATGGGGGATTATTTCAATTTCAGTGCAGCTGTTACCAAGCGCTTAGCACTCACTTAAGGGGCATTCAGCGGTGTCTGCAGCACTGAGAACCAGCTGGGATAAAAAGTTGTCATGATTTCTTAGCCTCGCCAGGCTCGAGAGGGACTGGACATGACTTGCAAGTCTTCTCCGTCCTGCTGGATGTGACGCCTCCCCGGAGATCCAGCCCTCTCTGGTCGTGCTGAGGAGTCACTTCTCCGAAGTGGGAGGGGAAAAGCCAAGTAAACAGCTCCCTGCAGGCAGTTGCCCTGGAGATAGGGAAGCTGCCCAGATAGAAGTGGCATGCATGTAATGTGTGTGACTCAAACCTGACTGGGGCAGCGGCTGTTCTTGGCAGGGCAGGGCTGGGTTCTGGGGAAGGCAGCGTGGCAACATCTGTTTTGTTGACGGGAGGGGATGGCTGGGGAGTGCGAAGGGAAAAAAAAGCTGTGTTCTCCCAGCTATTTCCCTCTGCTTCTTGCTTTCCCACCTCTTTCTGTTTCTTCCTCCATTCCCAGGACTGTCATCAGCAGATTCAAAACCACCTCCTTTGCTTTCAGATCTTCTCTGCCTTTCTTTATCCGGCTCCCCTGGCCTAAGCAATCTAGCACACTGCAATGGGATTGTTTTGGGAAGGGTAGTGAGGGGTCGGCTGATCCCTTCCCCTGACATATGGTGGGACGTGCCCTTCAAAAGTCAGCTTTAAAGCCTTTTTTTTTCTTCTCTGGTTCATGCATGTCAGAGAAACGCCCATGGCATATGAGGGGCACTGCACTCCTAATCTGCAGAGCCATGCTGGACTCTTATGCCACCTTGGGCAGGATTTGATGTTTGTAGATACAGACTGTATCGTGCAAACAGACTTCCAGATCTTTAACACAAACATGAGCTCCTGAGCCCAGAGTACCTCTGGCTGTGGAATAGATTGCTTCTGGCCACGCTTCCAGTCCTTTGCTCTTGTTGGATACATGCATCAGATAAAGTCTGGGCTAAGCAACGTGCCTGCCAGCAACCTCCTTTCTTTAGAAGAGGTACATGCTTCTCCATCTAGGGTTCCTTTAATTCATTCCTCTAATCAGGAGGATATCCTCTCTGTCATCTCTAGATTGTCAGGACCTTGGCTAAAGTGATGCCTTATTCTGCCTCTTATGTAGAGGAAGGAATTAAGGGGTCAAGTAACTTCTTCCTGCAGTCATCTTCCAGATTTGGAAGGGCCGGGCTAGGATCTGAATCCCAGCTCCCAAAAGGAAGAGCCAAAAATCAAAGCACTAATTTTGCTGCGTTTCTTGTCCTGTGAGGGAGTCTGGATGAGGCTGGATGTCAGCACCTTGTCATTTATTTTGCGGCCTTTCCTAGGTCTGGGCTGTAACTTTCTGTAGGTGTTGGCTACTGATTCAGTCACTTGAGTGTTTCCTTTTTTAAAGGGATAAGGCGAGCAGTAGAAACAGAAATAGTATGCAGATGGCAGGGTGAATAAAACTTGCCTCTTCACTCTGGGGAAAGTGTCTGGAGGAGGGCAAATATTAAATTGGAAAAGACACTGGGGCAGCTGTGCAGGGTTGGAAGAGTTTTTCTAGTACAAGCCGTATTCAGCAGGCCAGTGTCCAAATCATATAAATGTCCCCAGTGATCTTGCAGTGTACAGAATTCAGTGGAAACTTTATTTTGTGCTGCTAGCAACCCTACGTCCCTCAGCCTGGGCCTCAGAGCTGTTCTTTTAGGTTGCTCTTAACCCTCCCTTGTCTTTGATAATGACTGTTTCGTGGGGGAATTTCATGACATGCCCACATCAAAGCCTAGCAGTGCTGCCTCCTGGCTTTTGAGGGGGCTGGGAAAAATGCTGCATTGTTTCTGTCAATATTGAGGTACTGGATGTCCCAGCTTCTCAAAATCTACTCCCTCCCTATCTGGCTACTACAAGAGGGAGGGAGCTTTTTTCTTACTCCTGATTCCCAGAGGTCCTTCCTGAGGCAGAGGAAGATGCCTTTTGGCTGCCCACCATTCAGAAGAGCAGGGAAATGACCAAGAGGCAGGTTTCGACCTTCTGCCGCTAGAAGAGACTGCGTTGTGGAGGCCTTTGAGCTGCCTGCAGGCAGCACGGGCTGGACGTGCTTCCTTCGCAGGTGTAGGGAGAATGTCTTCTTAGCTGCCAGGGTTGGCATCTCATGTGAAAACACTTAAATCTTTGGCAGTTGATAGAAGCCCGTTGGCTCCTGTTAGAGGAAGCTCCACCTTTGCCAGTGGGAAATAGGCAAGTAGAGTTGTGTGTTGTCCCCCCCCGAGGCTCTGTTTGAACTTAAATCTTCTCAACAATGCCAGCAGTAAGTCTTCTTTTAAACCTCTAGTGAGACATCAAGCCCTTCTTGGTTAAAACCTGCGGCTATTTCTGTGGCAGTGTGCAGACCCCATCTGAGATGACTGGCTTGCACCGCTGGTGTACTAGGCTTCAGAGGGGGTCTTGGCCAGACTACTGCAGAGCCACATGCAGTGTACGAAGCCAGGCTGTACCTCAAGTTCCTGGACTACAGAACAGGCAGGAAACTTGTGCAGCTGGAGCGTTCCCCCTTTGGACACCTCCAGTCTTGTTCCAGGCAATGAACGAACCCTTTCTTTTACCCCAGTGAGAGAGACCATAATCCATTCATCAAGTGGAGTTAACCGAGACCTGGAAACGGAAGATCTTGCCCCAAGTCTAAAAGGAAGACTAGAGGAAGTAAGGAATGGCCTTTGCCTGTCCTCAGATGCTTTGAGCATGAGCGAATACCTGCTTCGGTCTGTTCGGGCTCTGTTTGCCAGGTGTCAGTGGTGGTGTTAGGCCAGGAGAAAAAGTATCTTGAAAATCCTGCGGGGGGATGTAGAGGACCAGCCCCAATGAAACAGCCACCAACAGTGCCCTTTTCAGATTGCTTTGCTGGCTGCTTGCAGCCTGGATTCAGTCTCTGGAGCATGGGCTAAGCACTGGCGGGCAGTGACTGCCGTCGTGCTCCTGGCAGGCCCCTCTGCGCAGAGCTGAGTCTCCAGGCCTGCTGCACATCCGCAGCAATGACTGCTATTAGTTTCAAATTGGCATGAGGCTGTGAAACAGGCATCCGTCCAGTAAGCCATCGGGGCAGCCGCCCTGCCTGACCTCTAGTGCTAGAGAGTTCAGGTTCAGAAATAGGCTTGCTCCTTCTCCTAAAGGCCTCCTAAAGTGAACGCTAACATGTAGGATCTTAATTGACTCGCTGGAGCTTGAAGCAAAAATTCCAAAGCGTAGCAACGCCTTAATAATTAAGCTGCTCGATAACACTCATTCTCTGATACACCTGCAGCCAGATCAGTGCTACTGTATTGAGCGGTCTGTTAAAGCAGTAACGCTGTAGTCTGGCATGAGAAAGGAAGACCATATTTCCTGTGCCGCGGGCAGGCCAGTCTCCTCTGTGCACACAGAAAGCCCAGCCTCGGGCTCTCTTGCCTCTGGGCAGAGCTGCTTGGAGAACCTGCCCCCTCACCAGGCCAGGCTGTGGTTCTGGAAAGTGGACCGATGCCCGGCTCCTCTCTGGCAAAGGCGGATGAGTGTTTGGAGGCAGCCGCCGCTCCCAGCCAGTCTCTGAGCATTTGGGGAATGAGGAAAGAATGAGAGAAAATTAAAAATAGAAGCATTTTATAGAACTGGCAGATGCAGTGCAGAATACTAAGTTGTAGCTCCTCCTTGTTACCCAGCCTGGAGTTTGCTGGAGCCTTAATGCTGGTCCCGTGTTTAGACTGGAAGTCAAAGGGCTGGCTGTGGATGAGGGAGGGGTGACCTGTTGTAACAACCAGGTAACTGGAAAATGAGTAGTTCTGCTTTGGGGGACACTTTGACCTCTTTCTTTCCTCTGGGCCAAATCCTGTGTGCATATCACCCCACACTGACCTCAGCAGGGTCCCCTGAGAAATCCCCTCTGTCCTTGCAAGCTGCTGTGGTCCAGTTTGGAACATTTTGTGTTGCCAAAAGTGCTGCCTGGAGCCACCATCAGGGGAGTGGGACGCTGGGTGGAAGAACTACCCCAGTGCTGCCCTTTCCCATCTCCAAGGGGTCTGGTTCATGCCCTTCATCAAGGGAACAGCTTCCGTGCCAAGAGGGTGTCCCTTAGTCCCTTCATTTTCCAAGCAGGTGTGACTGCCATCCTCCATATTAACGTGGCATGGCCTTGCTGTGCAAGATCTCGGCCAGGCTGCCTGCCTCACTAATTCCATTCTAGCCGAAGAATGTATCTGCAAACAAAAAAAGCAGCTGTGGAGAGAGACTTCTATAGCAAGTGTTTGAGATTTTGCATACCTAGAAATAGCCTAGTGTTCCTGAGAGCACAAACAGCCTTCTCTCTTCTTACCACCTGCCTGAAAGGCTTGTTAGATTAAGTAATGTCTTCCATGCTCTTTGCGAATGACAATACACTTCATTTCCAGTACGCACCTCTTCAAGGGGGCCCTAATACTTGATAGCTCAGACAGTCTAGTGTCTCAGCCCCATGTGAATTCTCAGCAGTCTAGGCCTGCAGTTTAGTTAATGGAACTTAGGTAAATTTGGGGCTTCAAACTAAATCTTCCATGCGCCATGACTGGATCTGATTGATTCAAGCAGCAGAATCCCTAAGGGGATGTCAAAGGGCAGCACTTGTGTTGAACACTTGGGGAATAAGCCTCAGTATCCAATCTTCATTTAGTGGTGGTTGGGAAGCAGCGCAGAGGTGTTTACCGCTTCCTCACCGCACAGCTTTCCAGTAGGCAGATGCGTTAATGTTCAAATCCACCTGTCATCGTGTAGCCGACAGCCTCGGAGGTAATGCAAAAGGCAGAACTTCAAGTGAACGGCAGCCCTTGTAATTGCAGGCAAGCTGCAGACCTCAGTAATCACGGAAGTAGCTTCTTGGGCGGGGAATTGCCTGGGAAGATCCTTTCCTGTAATGCGGTGGGTTTTATATTGCTCTTTAAATTCACTAAATGAGTTGACTGAATTTACGCTCCATAACGCACTTTATGACTGTGGCTGGTGGTAATTTCTTCTGGCATCTGCTAAAAACCTGTGATAGAGAATGTCAAGGCCTGGATAATGTTAACATCCTTGGGTTTTTCTTTGCTCATCTGAATTTAAAAGCAAAAGCTGTGAAAGGTGGGTTGTGTTGATCTGTTTGCCGGGGAGCGGGGAAGAACTCGTGAAAGTTACGGGATAAATAAGACTGAGTCTCAGACCGGTGATTAATTTGCAGAGTTATTGGTCAGCCTACTCACAATGTTTTCTTTTCTCCTTCTCCACCCCTGCCTCCCCCCCCAACCCTCTTGTTGTCCAGTGGATACGCAGCTGATGAAATTACACACTGTATTCGACCACAAGACATCAAGGAGAGGAGGGCCGTTATCATCCTTAGAAAGTAAGTGTGCAAGCGGCTGGCTGACCTGTAAGGGAACAGCAAAGCTGGGCCTAACTATCATTTCACAGCACTGGCAACATGCTTCCAAGTTACTTTAGCTGTCCAAATGTTAGCGAGGACATTAACATGGCATCTGCTTACGATGCTCTTTCCATTCTTGTGCTGGGCTTGGCTGGACAGCGAAAGCTGACTGATCTCTTTGGCCTCTTTGGTTACAAATGTGGTCGTTTTCACATCGGCTGTCATGCCCTGGAGCCTTGACGTGAGGTCTGAGGTTTGTAAGCACTGCATTTGCATTTGCATACATTCACTGGGCTTTCATTACCTGGTTTAATTAAAAAAATAAAGAGAATGTTAGGCTTGGAGTCAAATTGAAGGGACTGATCATGTGGTGTCAAGGTACCTGATGCTGGCCTTTCAAGGTGATATTATCATACAAACTGCTGTAAATAGGTAATTTGACAAAGTTGATGAGTTCTGGGCTGGGGAGGGAATGACTTTCACTCCTGCTGGGGAAAGAAATGCTGATGCTTGAGGCAAGTGGGTATAATGGATTAAAGAGCTAGGCCCATAAACCAGTTTGGGGCTTGATTGGTGAGAGGCAGCACCTTGTCGAATCGGTCCTCACTGAAGGCACCGTCTTGAAATGCCTCCAGCTGAAATGAGATGGGGTATGTATCTTGTGGTTGGTGTCTGGCCTATAGCTTTAAGAGGTCCAGCAGAAACTTTAGTTTACTTTAATGTCAGTTATGCCTGCTGTGTGGCCTGCTCTGGACTCCTGCCTTCAAGGGGAAAGTCGTCGGGGAATTGGTCTGTCAAGAAAAGCCATTCAAAATGAAAAAGTGACTAATTCCTTGGCATCAAACCCAGAAGGATGCAGGCAGGGGAGGGTAGAGTGGAACGGCTGCAGCCCAGGCAGAAACAAAGCTACAAGGCTGAAAACCTAGACACCGACTTCTTTGAGCTTCCAAACAGCTCAGTTGGCTTCAGGGTAACCTGATGGCATGGACAGCACAACGCAGTGCCCATTACATCAGCCCAGCAACAAAGTGGAGACTTGGACATCTGGGTGGAGAAGTGAGAATGGGGAAGGCCAAAGCCCTGAGGCAACAGCGAGGCAAGAGTAGCTTGCACAGGGGTGAGGGGCTGGAGGTGTAAAGTCATGGCACATAATGAAAGAGCGTGGGTTTAAATGAAGGCCCAAGAGAATCCAGTGTGCACTGTGGCTTGTAGCGTACCAGAACCCTTGCCCTTATCGTGGAGATTGGAAGGCTGCTGTGCTGGGGGCACTGGGAATGGCAGCAGCCGTGCTAAAGAAAGGCAAGATGCTGAGCAGTGCTGCAGTAGGTGCTTGTCCATTGTGAAATGTTCAGGACCGAGGAGCACAGGCAGGGGTGGGAGATGCGGGTTGTTGTGTCGGGTCGGTGCCTGGCTAAATAGATCAAAAACAAGTTAAACTGCTGCACGTGTCTGATGCAGAGAGCCCGACTGACTGGTTTTATCCCGTTCCCATTTTGGGTCAGTAACTAAACATTGCTTATGTCGCTGGAGCCTGAGCGATGGGCTCCAAGTCTTTGTTACTAGTTTAGCTAGTTCCAGTCTACTTAACTAGGACAGTGCCAGGCCTTGGAGAGCAGGATCTGCTGGCCCTGCTGAGGCTGTTGGCTTAGCCCAGCTCCTAGAAGCTGCCTTGGGCACCGAGTGAAGTTCAGTCCTTACTTGCACTCTGTGTCCATGCAGTCCATGTCTGGACTTTCCACTGTTGGATTTTGATAAGTCATTCGGCCAGTGGTGGGGTAGCAAAGAAACCCTGGTTGTATCCTAACCTGCTCTGTTCCTTGTCTTCATAGCATCGCCCAGCACCGAGCAAAAAGCGCATATCCCGGTTTGCAAAGGCGCGTGCTACAGACGCTGCAAGTGGGAGCTTGTTTGAACTTGTGCACGTTCCTTCAAACCTGGACTCTTGTCCCCATTAGGCCTTCAGGGACCTTCATCAAATTTGTATCCTGTCACATGCATTCCTACAGTGAATTGCATCACGTCCTGCATCATGTGACACTTGCAGATTTAAATAGCATGTTATGAAACCAGGAAAATCAGTGCTTCCTTTAGGCAGGCTGCTAGCATTAGAGCTGCTGGTTATGTCAAAGGACGTTTTATGCAGGGTCTGGCTAGGTTATGTTACAGAGATAATGCACCGAGGAATGAGAGGGCCTGTAGGTAGAAGCACGTACATTCAGCCAAGCAGCAAGGTGGCTGGCTACCCTAAAGTCTTTTGGGTTTTTATCCATTTTTGTGCACATTCTGCATGTGTGGCTCTATTGATTGATCTTGCCAGCAGCGATGGGAGAGCAAAACTGCACGCATTGGAGAAATGATCTGGGGTTCGATCAGTTTGGTGGAACATGTGAGAACAGCATGGTTACAAGCCGGGTGTTAATGCTTTAGTGCAGTGAAAGCACAATGATGTTTGCAGTGTTTCCTGTCTGCACCAGAGTGCTGGGCTGCAAGGGCACCAGCAAAGGCTGGAATTTCTTGTGTGCAAGATCTTAGAAAACATCGGGGTGGGGGGGTGAAATTTCTAAATTTAAAAAAAAAATAAAAACAATCTTCTCCCTCACTTTCCCTATAACCGGGAACAGTGTTAGTGCAACCTGATATTATTCTTCTGGGCTTTGATAGTGGTTTACGTGATGGATTTTCTGAGCATGTTGGTAGCAGCATTTGTTATAGAGAGCTTTGGCTTCGGATAACATGCTGGTGAATGTGTAGCCCATCTCTCCTGCTTCTGTAGCTGAAAACTGAATGGCTGGTTTGTTTCTCTCTTTCCCTGGATGCTGTGACTGGGGCAGTGACCTCGATCAAAGCTTTCATTGACAAAGCTAAGACTTATGCCTCTCAAAGTTTCAGATAGGCACAAATTAGGTTAGAAAGGCAAGTCTATTTCTGTGCAGAAATTCTTTTCTTTTTTCTTTTTTAACTTTGGGGGTTGCTTCCATTACCCCTTGCCCTCAGATGCTGGAGTTCTCCCCTCGCTCTGCAGAAATGCATTATTTGGTATAATCTCTTCCTTTCGTGAGTTGGCAAATTTGTATTGATGGTACGGCACAGTTTTGTTTCTTTGTAGTCCCATTGCCCAGCTTCTGATGCCTGTCAGAACTGACTTAAACCCTTTGCTGCCCATTAGTGAATGTTAATGTTGTATTTAGCATCTTTATATGTGGTTTTGGGGGTGGCCATCAGACAGCCCAGCATGGGACCGGCTGTCACTTCTGCATTCAGTGTTCTGCCGGGGGACAGATCAGATTTCTGGCCTATGCACAGGTGGAACAACGGAGCAGGCAAACTGCTAAAATAATACCAGCTTTAAACTCTTCCTTCCTCTTCACAGCGCGCTAGGCAAACCTTGTGTACAAAAACATGCCTGTAGACAGATTCATGTGTCGATACACAGGACTTGCAGCGGAGAGAACGAGCTGGTGAGGGACAAGTATAGATGGTTGCTCAGCAACTGCAAACGGCTCTTGCCCGCGGTTTGGAAGGCTCCTAGGCTTTCCTGCACTCTATGGAAACCAGGTCGGAAAGCTGGAGTTCCAGAGCAGAGCAGAAGCACATTCTCCGCCTCTTCGAACCCAAACTCGTACATGCCGATCACGGCACGCGAACAGATGCCATTTGAGGGAGGCAGAGACCGCAGAAATAACACGGAGGAGCAAGAGGGTTCTGGAGGGTGCACGGAGCATCTCGCCCACGTATGCTGTTCTGCAGTGCCTTTTTCTTTGTCCTGGATCTTGGCCTTGTTTAAACTGCTTCAAATATCGTTGAAGCCAAAGACTCGTGTCTAAGTATATTACCGCTACGCGGTTGTAACCAGGCTGAGCTCAGATGGCTCTTTCCTTCTCATGCTGTCCACACAAGCTGCCAGGTGCAGCAGCGTCTGGGTAAACAGTGCTATTCTGTCTGTTGTAACAAATCTGTTTGCCAGCACGGCTTCTGGTTTAAGCACACAGGTTCTCTCTGATTGTAACTGAGAGAACGTGTCGCAACTGCTGCTTTTGAATGGAATTTCCCATCTTTCAGATCTCCACCTGACTCTCTTGTGCAATCCTCTAAGTTTTTAAGAGAAGCTCTGCAACCCTAGTTGTGCTGCCCTGGCCTCCGCAACGGCTCCTGATTTAGATAGACAGAATATGACGGTGAAGTTAGTCATTGCTTTGTGTCCCAGAGCAGGGGAATTCTTTGCATCACTCCTAGATACTTTGTTCAGCAACTTAAAACCCTGGATAATCATTAACTCTCACACTTACTGACCTGTGTTAACTTGGTTGTTTCGGTTTCATGTGCTAGATTTCTTGGCAGATCTTTAGTCCAGGAAGCTGAGGAATTTTCAGGGTAGGGTCTTGCCTTGTTTATAGTGAGCTTGGCTTTCTTGGGTGTAGTGGTGGGTGCGAGCTGTGTGATTTGAATTTGGGTTTCATATCGGTTGAAATAGGTAGAATATCTTACTGAGATCTTAGCATTTTCCCACAGACTCTTAGAAAACACTTGTCTTTTAAATGTTCACAGAACAAGACTAGATGCTCCTCGATTGGAAACAAAATCGCTGAGCAGCTCTGTGTTGACAGCAGGTTACACCTCTGACCGACTGTCAGGAACCAACAGGGACCAGATCCTGAAACCAAAGCGGTCCCATCGGAAAGCAGATCCTGATGCTGCTCACCGGTAAGTCCAGCTCCCTTGTGAAAAGTCATCTGAGTGGGATGCTTATGACATTGTGGTGTCTCAAAGCTTCTTGGTGTTTGGCATCGTCTTGGCACGTGCTGTTTATCAGCCAAGTGGGAATCGCCACTTTTAGAATGGCCCATTTCATACCCGTTTGTTAAGCCAGAAGGCATCACCACTGCGATAGCGGTGCTGTGTAACACGTCCTCCCGCTTGCATTCTTGCCCAGTATATTTCTGCACATGCTTCCTGCTCACATTTCCTACGGTTCCCACCTCGGCGCTCTCTACAGGCACATACAGGCTTTAGTGGAATGCAGATCTAAATCATCAGAACTGGTTTGAAGCCTAATTTGGATACCAGGGGAAGCTAAGCTTTGATTTGTAAGCAGCTTGCATCTTTATTGCCAACGGAGAAGCCATAGGCTTGCCTCGTTTGATGCAGTAATTCAGAACGCTGATTTCCCGGTAACTAATTATTTCTGACCTCTCTTGCCAAGCAACGTGCACAGCTGTTGCATATGATGAAGTGGCGCTTTTTCCAAAAGAATTAAAGGTGTCACCACAAAGGAAGAGAGGGGCTCTTGGGTGGGATGATTCTTAGACCTGCCTTCCATGTGTCGTCTTGGTGAGCTCTGTACTGGCATTGGGTGCCAAGAAGGGCATGGATGTCAGCTCCTTCTTGGAAGCTGTTTGGGTGTGGCAGCTCCAAGGACATGGGCACTTGTAATGGGTGTAGTTCAGTGCACACAGTAATGTGAGGGTTCCCCTGCGAGTACACACTCAGGAGAGTTTCTAGCCAGGGTTTATATTTCCATTGGTGGTGGTGCAGAATCAGAGTAGCTCACTGATAGTTATGCACTGTAAGGCCTGATTGGTCTTCCCAGTTCCCAGAGGTGTCTCTGGGGCTTGGTGAGGATTAGGGCAGAGGCTCTTCTGGACATCACGCACACATCCAAAGGTTGGCTTGGCTTTGCAGCTTGACTGCGATACAGCTGCAAGCAGTCTTGGGAGGGCTGGGCTTGTTTGAGTCACGTCAGACTGCGTGGGCACTAACTGAGAAACGGAGCTAGTTGGGAGGCAGTGTTAGGCTTGTGAGCATTGTGCTCACCCAGCACGAGGTGAATGATGTGAATTCTCCGCTGGTGCCCTTCGCAGCAGGGATCTTCCTTCGCAGTGGTAATGTATGGTACCATCAGCTGCACACAGGAAGGGAAAGCCAAGCAGCTGCCCAGTTGTGGTGGTTTCTGCCCAGTCTAAAAGCTTTACTGCAGCCCAGACGGCAGTGAGGATGTGTGAAATATGAAGACTCTTGTGACGTAGAGGGAAAGAATGTGCGTTGCCACAGCAAATCCTCCCCAGCGCTCATGCTGAACGTCTAAATTCAGTCTGCGTCCGCTGTGTGGGTCTTCCTGGGACTGCCGGGATAGATTCTCCCCTCGGTTCCCACAACGCACTGAGTCCATTTGGGGTCAATTTGGTCAAAGTAAGCAGGACTTTGTAGAGGGATTTTATTTTTAAATACAGCCATTTCTGGAATATCAGTTTAATCCGAAGTTTGCTTTTGTTCTCGTTAGGCCTCGGATTTTAGAAATGGATAAAGAAGAGAACAGGCGTTCGGTCCTCTTACCAAAACACAGGAGACGAAGCAACTTCAGCTCAGAGAACTATTGGCGAAGGTCTTACGAGTACACGGAGGACTATGACGAGGAGGAGGAGGATGGAAGTCCAGCCAGGAAGGTTAAAATGAGGCGACATTGAGGAATGGGCTTCTGAGGGTCCCAGAGCTGGAGAGAAGGGCCTCTGATCTGTGAAAACTTTCCCCCTCCAGCTATTTTCCATCTAGCTTCAGTTTTTGGTTTTGTTCTTTCCTTTCAGCTGATGAGTCCTTGGAAAGGATCTGGCTGGCTGCGTTACGAATGGAGTAAAACTGAGGCACGCGTAGCACTGGGACGTGTGTGGTGCCACCCACGGTTTCCCGAGTAGTGGGTCAAACACAGCTGCTTTCCCTCCCGAAGCAGTGAATGTCAGAGCTGGGCCGGGCTGGCTGTTGGCATTTTTTATTTTCCCCCAAACACCAAAAAAGTGAGAGGTTTCCTTGCTGGAAAGTCACAAAACGTTGGGGTTTTTTTTTTCCTTTTGCTTTAACTTGTGTTTTTGTTTCTTTTCACGTGTTCTAAATCTGCTGTTTGACCCCAAGAATTGTAACTCTCGTGGCCTCCTACTCCATGCTACACCAAAGGGCTCCTCAGTCTGCTATTATATAGTGAGGGTTTTTTTCTTTATTTTTTTTTTGTTAAGGGTGCCCTGCAGTAACTGGAAATTCGAAGCTTTGCAGACACCTCTCGCTGCATCCGGTTACAGAGCGTTTAGGACATTTGTTGCACTTTAGTAACAGTTTTTAAATGCCATATACTCCCCTTCCAGCCCCCATCCTCCAGCTCGCTTGGCCTCGCCAGCATCCTGTCTTCTGCGCTGCTAACTAAAAGGTATGTTTTCTCTGTGAAGAGCAGCCGTAAACTTGTGCCCACAGAGGCTGGTTCTGAGGGCTCATCGCAGAGAGAATAGAGCCTTTAGGAACTGAAGTAATTGTCTGCTAGACCTTTGTCTGTAACTGCATACGTGCAGGTTTCCTTTCCAGAGGTGTGTTGTTTGGACCCTAAACATAGTGTCCTGCTTGGCTTTGAGACCTGTTGTGCCAGGGGACTGAGATCTGTATCGGAGCCCCTGGGACTTTGAGTATGAAGATGACGCGCGCGCGTGTGTGTGTGTGTGCGTGCGTGCGTGCATGTGTGTGTGTGTTGGGTACATGCTTTCCCCTTCTCCAAGTGAGAGACTAGCCAGAACGATCTGTCGGGGTAACGTTGCACTGTGAGGGGGCCTGACTGGGGAGCACGGTAGGACGTGCTCTCTCTGTGCAGGCAGGAGCTTGCCCTCCTGGGTCCTCACCCGCTTGATCCAAGACGGCGTTCTCTCCCGAGTGCCTCGTTTGAGGACACCCCAGAGCTTTGCAACAGCCTGAGGAATCTGCTGGACTTCACTGCAGAGGTGTGCTCCATGATATTGCCCGAGTAGTGCTAGCAGTCCTGTTCTTGCTTTGGTGTTTGCAGTTGGCTTGGTGGTGGGAGGTTGGGGGTCTCCAAACCTGCTTAGTTCTGCTGCTCGGCTTTCCCCGGCAAACGCAGGAACTGCTGGACGATGCCTGTATTCTGCTGATTTGAATGTCAGTATGAATTCCTGGTGCAGAAAGCTCCATGGCTTGAAAAACAGTACTGAAGAGGTCATCTTTGTGGCGCACAGGAGTTGAGGTTAGAATATCAGAAGTCCCTCCATGCTTCCTGCTTGTCTTTGCGCCCACATGGCTGCATTATCCTGGCTTAGAGCCTCCTTGTAATAACACATTTAGAAACCTAACTTTAACAAACAGGGGGTAGAAAGAAACCCTCTCTGAATTCAGTATCTTGAAGCCAGGTATCAGCAGCTGCAAGGAGTGGTCTTTTTTTTCAAGTTGTCTTAAACTCTTTAAAAATTGCAGCTCTCTTTGGTTGTGTGTTCAGTGCTCTCTGCTGGTCTGCACGCTTCACAGGAAAAGGATCGAATACATTTTGAATACAGCCTGATGCTCTCACTGAGGCGTTTTCAGCCCACCAGGCCTTGTTCCTTCATGTGCTGTTAGAAATCTAGCATGCTTGCCCACCTCTTAGTTCTTATGCATGCCTTTTTCTTCTCCTGGCCCCTAGTGATGGTCCTGTTGCAAACATAACTTCAGGAGAACTTTTATCCGCATGAGACTCGAGCCCTTTGGGGGTTATCTGTCATCCTTCAGCCTGGTGTTTGGATTGCGTTTCTGCTGCAGAACTCCAATTCGCATGCCTCAAAGATGAGAGGAGCCTGTTTGCCCATCGAGCGAGCCCCACCGCTTCTGCCCTGGTGTGGAAGTTCATACTTCTGGTTGCCTTCAGGATGTCAGCTGAATTTGAAAATTGAGGCTTGTCTTTAAAGCTGGCATTTCTCTGCCCTTTCGCTTGTTGGCTTTGTCAGCAGGCCAACTCCAAGCCATCCTCACACTCAGTAGGGGAGTGCTTTCTTTGGGGACATTGGGTTTTTCTGAGTGTTTGAAACTAGCCCGTATACTGGATCCACGGCGTTACCATTTATGGCAGACACCCTAAACATCAGCCCCTCTACAAGATGGTGGCTGGTCGTGGGAGGCTTAGGAGTGCTTGTTTTTTTTCTGAACTAGGCGGTTTTTGGATTTGCATTTTAAAAGCCCCATCGCTTCTAAGGGGCTGTGCTGAGCCCCTCCTGCTGTACAATAGCTCAGTGTTTCTGCTTAAACATAGTTCTGGCTGGATGAATAGAAATGGTAGTAACCAGTGCTTCTCTTTCCTCCTATTACATGCAGTGGATCCTTCTACCCATGCTGCTTTCAGCCTGCCCCTGCAGTCTGGCTCTCCATCTTCAAATGAAGTTGGTTTCAGTTTTTCCTCTGAGGTGACAATTTGGTGAGGCTCACTGATGGGGCCACTAATAGAGCACGGTTCGCTGTGTTACCTAGAGTGGAATAAGGTATTGGATTTTTCTCGGGAAAGGAGCAGTAGACCTACTAATGTCTCATGCATCAAGGTCTTTCCTCTAGCAAGGTATAACGACACCTCATTCCATCCCCTTGTGTGCAGCAGGGGTACATTCGTTGCGTTTATTTTGTATTCCTCCATGCAACCTTTTTTCTGCTTCTCCATCTTCACGCTTCATTTAGTTCTACAGCTTTTGAGCGAGCAGCAGTGCCCCTTGGGGTTAGCGTCAAATCTGTGTTTTTTCTTTGGTTGCAACATTGACGTGTTGGCAAAATTGGGGCATGACTAGTTGTGACTCCTGATGCTGTCTGTGGGCTGAAGTCGCCCCGTGTGTCTGCAGACCATCCTCCCCAGGTGGACAGATATTTTATACAGACCCACGTATGTATATGTGTAGATGCACGTTCTTAGTTCTTTTGTACTGATCCACATCCAAAAGAAACCTTCATTCAGACACTTTGAGAATCTATGTCTTCACACCGAGCTCAATATCAAGTGACAGGAGACTCCCTAATCTGACAACAGCTCAGGAAATTCATCCCACCCACATCTTGCTTTGATAGCTGTATGTCTCTGCTCTGTGAGGCCAGGTCAAACTTTCAGGGCACTGCCCTGATGTGGAAAACACCCAGAACCCAAGCAATTCACTTTTTTAATTAGGAATCACCCATGTTCCAGCTGCCTCCCTGCTCTAAGTGGTAAAAAGCTGGAAGTGGGGTCATGACCACCTGTGCAATGTGAAAGAGAGCTGGTGACTTAGCAAAGCCTCAGTCACGGGCTTGATCCACTTGGTTTTAATCGTCTTTCCTGAGAGCGCACCATAATGCAGTCAGGTTTCCTCTCTGTAACCCAGAAGCGTGTAGTATGTGTGACCTGTCCAGCAGCCAGCACCCTAAATCAAAGGCACTGCCAAATTACAAAAAAAAAAAAAAAAAAATCCCAAAGACCACGGCAGTATTTTTCTTCACTAAGGAAGGGAAATGCTTTCTGCTTCTTTGCAGATAAATGATGGGGAGGAATTTTGTACTTTTGCTGCTGTTATCGTTGGGCTGCATGCAAGTGAAAGGAGTCTTAAAAAAACCCCCGAGTTTGTTGCATGGTGAGTCCAGAAAAAAGCGGCTGTTGGCTGGTCCCTGAGAAGGAGAGTGATGTTATAGGGATGCTTTTTTGAGACTCCTCCTTCTGAGGTCGTCGTTGCTTTGATGGTGCCAGATGCTTGGAGGGCACTTCGCGTTAACAGGATCCAGTCAAGTGAGACGTACCCGCAGCAAGGTCATAGCTGCCACATCTGACTTCTCACCTGCGAAGTTCTAGTCCAGCCGGTGCAAGTCACTGAGTCACGAGATGCATGAGCTGTAATCCAAAGGCTTGGTTCATCTTTGAAGGTTGGGCTGCCTAACCAGCTTTTGAAGGTTGACCTGTATTTTGGCAAGCAATGCACACACCTGAGTTTCCCGTGCCAGGAGCTTCTGCTGGGACACAGGGTGACAAACACATGCAGGCACAAGCTGACTATTTTTTTTTCTTTCCATTTTTGGTTTTGAATCTCATACAAAGCATCTTCCAGTATTTTCTGTGCAGGGAAAGGGGGAGTGGGGGGTGGAGTTCTTTGTTCTTTGTTTTTAATGCTGTTAGTATGTGCTGTTGATAGCGATGCTTGCTGGAGATGGGTCTAAACCCACCCCCCAGTTTCATATGGCCATGAAACTCGGGGGAAAAGTTCAAAGCTGGCCCTGGACTCTGGTTTGGACCTGCCCCCAGTGACGGCTAGTTTTATATGCCAAATGCAATTTCCCTTTCCCAGTTGGAAGGAGAGCCAGCAGCCCGACGCGTCAGCTGGCCCCCAGCATCCTCCCCGTCCCCCACACGCGCGCACACACCTGAAGTTCTGGCTGACTTTTGTTTTGTTTTTTAAAGATTCTCTAATTTTTTTGTTACAAATAAAGAAAGTGGCAATATTTTTTCTGTAAGTTTTTTCATAGGAGAGCGTGGTTTGTAACAAAAGTTGTACAGTTCTGACGTTTGAGATACACAAAAAAAAAATAATAAAAAAAAAGTCCTGTGTGGAACACTGTAAATGGGCAGAGATTATTTTATGTACAGTACAATGCGGGGGGGGAATCTTTTAATTCCGGTTGATTCTTAGGAAGACTTTAGTTCTTCACTGTCAGGGTTTGAAGTTTCATGGATTTCATTTTTTTTTTTTTCCTTGTATAGAATGCTGCATTTAATTGAATAAAAGCAGAAAGCATCACTTGGCTGCGTGAGTGTGCGTGCAGTTCTTGGGTACGTGTGGAGAACAGCTGCTCTCCAAGAGCCACGAAGCCACTGACTCTTGTCCAGAGCAAGTTGCTTAAGCCCCGTGTTGCTCACTTGGGGGGGGAGTGAGGGTCTTGACTTCAGTTGAAGCTTTGGGGGCCGAGTCCTTCAAATCAAATTGGCCCTTAATGTCTGTGCCTCCATGCCAGGAAAGTGAAAAGAGGTGTGGGTGGGAAGGGAAGAGAGGATGCAAAGCATCTCCCCCTAGGGAGGTGGGGACAGGACAAGGAGAAATGGTTCTGGACGGCAGCAAGAGAAATTTAGGTTGGAGATTAGGAAACACTTTCCCTACTTGAGGGTGGCTCAGCATTAGACCAGGCTACACAGAGGAGGAGAAATGTTCCTCCATCCACAGGTGTTTTTAGAGCAGGTCAGATGCTCTTAGCAGGGATGGCTTAACCCTGCCCTGAGCTGGGGGTTGAACTCAATGGCCTCCTGCGGGCCCCTCCACCCTTACTCTCCAAGGAGGCAAAGGTTAGTTGGTGGGTCCCTGGCAACACAGTATTTATTATAATGTGTTCTTGCACAAGAAGGGCTGTATGCTGGAAATGAGGGATGGAAAAACCCTCCAGCACTTGATGACTCATCTCTATCCTGAGCTGCTAGCATGTGGTGTCCATCTTGCTTTAAATGCCGAAGCGACAGGACTTCCGCCTCTCCTGTTAGACAGATCGTGCCAGAGCCCAGGAGGTCTTTGTAGGAAGATGTTTCCCAAGTGTCTTGTCATGGTTTTTCTGTTCTTAATTAGGGTCAGGAAGGGAAGGAACAACTTGGAAGAGCGCTTCAGAAACGCAAGGAGCCTCGAAGGAAATGAGGCGTGTCCTGAAGGGGAGGGGAAGGTTCAGGACTGGGTTGAGAACCGGATCAACAGTGAGCATGCCTCTCCTAATGTCCATGCAGAGACCGACATGCCCCTTTGCACGTGAGGCTCGTCCCAAACCCGCAGTGTTCCTAGGGCAGTGGCCGTCTTGCCCCAGTTATAGCAATGCCGCAGGGTTGCGTTCCCCATGTGGGGGCTCGCTGGCCAACAGCGTTCTGGTTTGGAGCCACCTCCTTGTTCTGGGTTTGACCTGGCCCTGGGATTAAGAAGTAGCTTGGTTCTGCCTGCCTCTCCCATGGCCCAACACACGCGAGCTATCTGTCTGCTATGTTGCCAGAGCTTCCTCCCAGTGGCTTGTCACTGGGGGAGCCAAGACACATCATCTGATGTGCCCCTGTTACCCCAGCTCCCTCTCCTTGGAGCACTGGTGCTCTGCCCTCAGACAAGTTGGGTCCCCCGTGCATCTTCTCTTTCTTCCCTCCCTACCCTAGTGCTGAGACATCACTGTCCCAGGAGGTGAGATTCACTAGCCCCGTCTTGGGCTCTCATTGCCAACTAGCCACACTTCATAATGCAGCAAAGGCTCCGCCGGGCTGTGGCTTCCTCAGGGAGCAAAAGCTCCTAAAACAACTGAAAGGACTTGAGGGGCATTGGTCTCTGGAGCAGGGCTGGGCTGGGAGCTGTGAGATCTCCCTACCTAGCGCTTTCCCATGAGTCCTGCTGCACGTGGCAGTGCCCCAGGTTTCACACGTCCACCCAGAGTCCACTACCCGCTGGCGTGGCAGGGACACAGCTTCAGGAAAATGGGGATAGTCTTCTCTACCTGCCCAAATGTGGGTGTGGGAACCCGAGTCCAGGCACTCGTCTAAAACTTCGGTTCATCTGGTATCAGCACGAGTGGACACACGTGGGAACATCCAGACTGCCCCCAGGGCTAGGCTTGTCGTTTGCCCATGCAGGTCTGGCGTTCCTGCTGTGAGGTTGGGGCTGTGTCCAACTGCTGGCTAGTCCCTGTATGGGGCCGATGCATCCCCAAGGGGAAAGCCAGGCCATCAAACCCAGATCTTCAGGCCTCTTCTGCTGCCTGGCATCAGAAGGCCTTCTGCTTCCACCTCTATAGCACTAAAAATGAAACCAGTCCAGCTGTCCTAGCCAGGGGATTTCATGGCCTGCTACTGAAACTCTACCCCTGTTGTTCAGCGCTGCGCCCTGCCCTCCCAGGAGCCAGGCTGTGGAGGAAGCAAAGCCCCAGCTCAGCGGAGGTGGTTCCTTGGCTGCATCCAGTTTGCACAGTAAGTGGTGACGCCTGCACCCAGATGCAGCTGGTAGGAGGGGACGGTTGGCTTTCAAGCCCTGTCCTTGGGAAGCAGGGTAGGAATCTGCTCATCTCAAGCCAGCCAAGAAGAGTCCCCGCGTCTGAGACCGCTGCAGACCTGCCCAGCCCCTCGGGGAGTCTGCTTGGCGTGTCTTGGACCTGGCTTTTGCAAGCCGTTCTTGGGGTGGGTGTGCTCGGAGGCTGGGCACAAAGGTGGGCCGAAGCTGTAAAGAGCCATTGGTTTCCGAGCTGGGCGCCGGGCATGGGAAGCTCCTCGGTGTTGTGTGGCTAGAGCAGGAAGAGGTCAAATCCACGTGCGCGGCGCTTGCTGGAGGGAGCTGGGCCAAGCACTCGCCCCGGCCGTATGGGCACCACAGCGGAAGGGCCGTGTTAGACAGCACTGGCCGTGGGAGGGGAAAGCCCCTCGTGCTCCGACCGGCCTCCCACGGGCCACTTTGCCCTGGCACTTGTCAGGAGAGGTCCTGACAGCTGCCAAGGTCCCTGGGGCTTTGCACAAACCTCGCAGTGGCAGCTGAGCACCTGCCCAGGGAATTGCACCCTTCCACCTCCCTCGTGCTGGCAGTTCAGCGGGTGCTGACGTGCTTCACCCCAGAGGTAGCTGCGATCTAGCGGTGGGAGCATGGCGCTCCTGTGCAAACGACTTTGGGCCGATTCTTAAACACGCAGGAAATACAATCCCTGAGCAAATGCGATGCAGGCGTCTAGCGCAGCGTGGGCTGCGCAGCAGAGCACATGCCTCTGTGATCAGCTTTGCCCGGTGCCAGGCTGCTGAGCAATGTGTCTGGCATTGGCTGCTCTCCCCCCAAAGCCCTCAGCTGGGACTTGAGGCAGGGAGCCAGAAACCTTTGCAACGGCCGGGCCAGCTCCATGCCCAGATGTCCTGGCAGCAGGCTGGGCTTTTTCCTCGCTGGTTCTCCTGAGCACCTCTTGCTTTGCCCACGCCAGCACCCGGGCTGCAAGGACGGCAGATGCCCAGGGTCTGCTCTGTCCCCAGAAGTGCCCTGCTGAGACTCACGCGCCGAGGCCGCAGGCGCTGTCGCCTTCGACGCTTCCCAGCCCGGGCCATGCCGAGCCGTGGGGACGGGGTCGTGTCAGCTGTGCTGCCCCGTTCCCACGCGAGGGGGAGCTGGAAGCAAAGCCAAGCTTCAATGGCCGGACGGGACTTCCACTGAGCTGCAGGGGGAAGGAGGGCAGGGCAGGCATGGCCCGTCTTCCCCCGTTCCCCTTCCTCGGGCTTCAGCCCAGCAGGGGCTCCTATGGTAGCTGTTCCCTCCCTGCTCTGCTCTCACAGGCGGGTCCCTTTTGTTCCCTGTCTGACGTGGTCCCTGCCTGGTTCGTGCCCCTGTGCTCTGGGGCCGGCGCTGTCCGTGGGCTCACCCAGGCAGGGGCTTGGGGTGATCGTGGACGCAGCAGATGCAGGAGCGGAGGCCCATGGGGTTGTCCGTGCCACCTTTTTCCCCCCCGCCCAGGGTTCATAGACACAGCGACGTCCTGGTGAACGTGATGCTTGGAAAGGGGTGAAGCACTGCCCTGTCCTGGCCTCTCCTGCATTGGGGTCGGGGCCGGGCTTGGGGCTTCGCCGGCAGATGGAGACCCCTTCTCGCTGGCTTCCCCCCACGAGCCCCTGTCCGCTGCCTCTCGTGTGATACCACGGGGCGTGAGGGAGTAAAGGGGGGTTGTGGTGGCTGGTGAGGGTTGACCTCGCGCATGGAGCTGTTCATCGCACCTGTGCCCTGGGCTTTCCTCCTCTGCGGGGAAGGCATTTAACACGGGGGCAGAGTAAAACCGGGTGGGCTCAGCATGGCTCACCGCCACCCCCTGGCGCTCACCGTGGCACCTGAAGGCTGCAAGGCAGAGAGACAAATGGATTGCAAAACCCCCAAAAAGAAAGGCCTGTCCAGGCTGACCCCACAAACCCACCGGCCTCGAAGCTGGCACGCGGACGGGGAGGGAAGAGCCAGGTTTGTTCCTCGGGAGGTGTCTGCCCTGATCTTTGCAAGAGCACCAGGCCTGGGCAGAGGCAAAGGTGGTTTCCTCAAACAGCAGCCCCCGTAGCGCCCTGTTTAAGCCCTCGGGACCCCTGGGAGGGAAGAAGGGGCCGGTCATTAGCTGGCACTTCCCAAAGGGCCCTGGGGCAGCAGCCTGAGCCATGCGCCAAGGCTAGAGGAGCCTGCCACAGTCCTCAAGCCGCAATTTCCCCCAGAAGCTGGGACAAAGCGTGTCTCTTAACATGTGGCCGGAGTTCCTCTGACCGCATAGCCATGGGGAGTTCTCCCCCCGGCCCCGGGCAGGGGTCCAGCTGTCTGCAGCCCTCGCTGCTAGGCTGTTGCTTCTGGCTGCACGGTTGAGTTTCTCTGACTGTCGCTGGATCTTGCCCCTCCATCTGCCGGCTGGAAGTCTTCCCACCATTGCGCTCTCTTCCCTTCGCACGCACTTCCACGGGCTGCTCGTGTCCCCTCCCGGCCTGCCCTCGCATTAGCTGAGCAGACAGAGCCCCTCGTCTTCTCGCCTCGCACAGCTCGGGGCCACGTGTGAGCTGGGACTGCTCCCAGGAGTGGAGGGTATTGGTGGGCAAGAGCTTCTCGAATCCCCCGTGTGCACCCTGCATCTCTGCTGGTGCTTTGCAGTCATCTGGAGCTGCATCGTGTGTGCCGTGGGCGGCTCTCTGCGGCTGGGAGCTGGCGCCACGTTGAGCGTGGCCTGTCTCTTCCAGCACACAGCAGCCCCCTATTCCCGCATCTGCCTTCTATTAGTCTCCTCCAGGCGCGAGGCTTGCCGTC